TCAATCAATCAATCAATCGTCAACAGTTCACAACCTTCATGACATGGAATTTATCAAACCTCAACATGCTTAATATTAAAAACCTAGTGGCAACTTTGCATTTATTTAGAAATATTTACATTTCCAATGTCTTTGTCCGAGATAAAATTACAAATTGTAAAAATACTTTATTTCTACATAAATCTACTGGTTCATCGATAGGCGCGGTTAAAAAAAAATCACGTGCGGGGCGGGACACACAGAGACAGAAGCGGGGCTATTAGCATGGGAATTTGCAAATCAGGAGCATGTAAATATAAGGAATAACTGTCAGATTTTTTGGATTCATGACGATGATCAATCGATTGGCTTGCGTGATAATTTCATGCATAAACGCTTTCGGCGTTTATGCAAATTATCACGCAAGCCACTCGATTGATCACATCATGAATCCAAAAAATAAGACAGTTATTCCTTAATTATACAAGGGCTGATCCAAAAGTTCGTAGAATTTCTTAATATTATATTAATTTGTTAGTTGAAGTGATTGAAAATTACAGATGAAAATGTGTACGTTTACTGAATTTTCTTATTAAAAAAATATTTTAAATATTCATGATAACACTTTGGCAATTGCCATAGGAACGGATGTTTGAAAATGCGGGGGAGACATTTATTCGTTCATTATAATTTCAATTTTTAATGCTCACTGTGAGAGAAAAAACCATGCTATATAAGTGGTATATGAAACGAGAATGTCATAATTACGAATGCATGAACTCTTATAAACCATTGTGTGAAAGATTTAATATCCATTTTGATGGATATTTAGTTTTATTTACAGAATCTCGAGAACACTCCGACTTGAATGCATACATTAACAGTCAGGACAAAAGAAGTGCAATAAGCAACTAGTTTTCAATTGTCTTGAGAAATTTCAGGAAAATAGAGCTTCAGTAGAAGATGACGAAAGGTGGAAGGTCGTTTTTTCCTCATTGACAAAGAACTACGCACGCTAACTCTCGATTCCCGCCTAAATTTTACACCCATTTAATTCAATACTAATGGCAATTTGGCCGTAAAATTTTTGTTGAATGTAAAGAACAGTTCAATGGTAATTGACTGATAATTTTAATACCTGGCCTGTGTTAAAAAGTTAATTACCCCTAAATTCCAGCTCTTTAAATAAGGGGGGTAGACGATATTTTTCACTGAAATCGGGCTTTAAAGCATATCACCACATTTTAGAGTATTCTTGGATATGAATAAATGTTCCTTAAATCTTTTCTTATGTTATACTCATATAAAATTAAACATATATTATTAATAAAATACAAAGTTTTAGTTGTAAACCCCTTTGAAATTGGTGAAAAAATAAGCATTTTTGTAGTTTTTGTCTGTAAACATACCCCCCCCCCCGGGAAACACTAAAAACTTTGGTATGAATTTGTGAAATGACAGTCCATATTACCTGTAAAAAGGAATTTTTGTTTCGTTTGGGGGGTGGAGATGTTTTAAAAATATTTCCCGTTTTCCGTTGATTTCTATATTGGAAAACACAAGTTTTCCAAAATTATAGAGATATCTCAAACAACAAATGCCTTATCAGGCACGTAGCGACAGGGGGGCCGGGGGGGGGGGGGGCTGGCCTCCCACGTTTTTCCAACCATAAATTTTTACTATTGAAAATGTTCATTGAAAGGCCGTTGCCCCCCCCCCCCTCCCCACACACACTTTTATTAAAATAAAGTCAAGAAAGGGTAAAATAGTAGTGTAAGAATAAGATTTGGTACTGAAGGAAGTTTAACCCCCCCCCCCCCCCCCGAAATAGGATTTTCAAGTTTGGGGATTTAATTTTTTTTTTTTTTTTTTTTTTTGCTGGTCATTTTTTTTTCCGGGTAAGTTGAATTTTTTCTCTGTTCTGTCCCCCCTTTCAAAAACGATGCTTCGTCACTGTTTATAGGCATTGAACATTGGGAGAAGGTTTTGCCCCCCCTCCCCCCCCCCACTTTCAACAGGCACACGTTACAGTGTAATGAAAGAAGGGTAAGTGGTAGCGTTTGGAAAAAAATTGGTACTGAAAGAAGTGTTCGAACCCCCCCCCCCCCCCACACACATTTTTTTTACTTGTCGGTTTTTCAACTTTGAATTATTTTTTCTCTTTGAATTAGCCCCCCCCCCCCTTTCAATTTGCTTCCAACACCAATGTATCTGATTCTAATTTATAATTTATGCAGCCAACAAATACCTTGTCGAGCAATATGGCTCTTTCTTTAGTCAATTAAACAAAGTTATCTATTTGATTGGTTGTTTGTTGTTTAACGTCCCTCTCGAGAATGTTTCACTCATATGGAGACGCCACCACTTGCCGGTAGAGGGCTACAAATTCTGACCTATACTCGGCACTCACGGCCATTGAGCAGTGATCGAGGGATCTTTTTCGTGCCAGCACCTACTGCGACACGGGACCTCTGTATATACGGTCTCATCTGAAGGACCTTTCTCCACGTCCCACTGTGGGATTCGAACCCGCAACGTAAGGATCAACTCCTTACTCTGCGACTCTAGAGCAGACGCTCTAACCACTTCGCCACGCGGGCTACTATTTTTGATAGCACAGCTGAACCAATACCAATATTTTTGGAGAAAACCATCAAAATTACTGAATTCTTCACTTGTATTAAGCCCAAATATGCGTACATGTACCAGTATAGGTACGAATATCTGAGGATGGTGTCGAGCTTGACGGCTTCATGAAGTTTCACCGTGAGAATTTTGTTGTTTCGTATTTCATTAAATGAAACGTGAATTTGGTATGAATAAATATCCAGATGATATGCATACTTTGGTGTTTTTGACATATATATGTACCATGCGTGAAAGATATTGATACCTGCTATCTTTATATTCAATTTTGTGTGTCATAGTTTTCTCAAATATATGTATTTTTAAAAGCTATTTGTTTTTAGTTTTATTATTGTAAATTAAAAGCTAATATTCCCTTTCAATCCTTTGCAGTTATGAAATTTGCACATATCTGTAAAAAAAAATATACAGTAAAAAATGATAAGAAACTATTCACGTCCATAGCAGGATTGTAAAAAAAAAAAATCACTTGAACAATAAAATGTTTGTGGTGGGAGAAGGGGTAGTGGGGGTGGGGGGGGGGCAATTAGGCAATTGACTTTTACAAAACTCAGATTCTTAAACCTTGGAGAGGGGTGGGGTATTTTAATAATCTCATTATTTTTCTGCAGAAAATATTCTGTACAATATGGTGAGGGCAGTCAACTTACTACCACAATAAGAGGGGGATTTTGATAATTGAAAGGATTTTTTTTAGTATGAATATTATACACGTTTATCTGTAAAATACGGAAGAATCCGAATTGGATGCAAAGAAAAAATAAAGTACACATGTACTACTACTTGTAAATAAAATGTATTGAAATGATTGTAACACGATTCACATTACATACAATTGCATCTTAAAACGGTAACAATGTATTTTGTACCTGCCTATTGAAATTTGTTTTTTTTATGGTTGTTTTTTTTGTTTTTGTTTTTGTTTTTTGTTTTTTTTGTATATATTGTTTTTTTTATCGATCTTTTTTTTTTGGGGGGGGGGGGTCATTTTTGTTCATTTTAAAAATATATATCGTTCTACTGCACAACTAAAGAACGTATTTATTGGAAATGTGTAAGGAACAAATACCTAAATAAATGGACTGTCTTTGCATCTGTGTGTCCTTCTAAACTCGAGCTCGAGGAGATGAAAGCAATACTTTTTTTAAAAAAAAATTATAATTAGACATTTTATATATTTACTCTAGTCTGAAATATCTGACGTTTTCCAGGCTTTTTTCATGATTTTGATATTTCACGTGCCAGGAACACGTCAGAACCGGCGCCATAATGTTACGAAAACTGGAAATTTCGCCGTCTCCAACCGGAGCTGATTTTCGATACTTGCGAACTGAATTAAATGTCGAACTTACAATTTATCAATAGCACAATGCTTCTAATACTCACCAATATCGATGAAAAGAAAATATCACTCTATATTTCGATACAGGTCTTGCAAGATTTTAAAATGCACGAATTGAAAACAAAACTCGAGGGTCTGATAAAATGTTTTCACCGGACTATATTTTATAAACAAACCATTAAAACGATGTTGATGAGTCCTAAAGGCATTGTTCTATAAATAAGTTGTGAATTCAGCATTTAATTTGGTTCGCAAGTATCGAAAATCAACCCGAGAATGCCGCCTCCAGTTGGAAGCGGCGAATTTCCAGTTTTCGTAGCACTACTTGGCGCCGGTTCTGACGTTTTCCTGGCACGATCGTAAAAAAGCCAGGAAAACGTCAGATATTTCGGACTTAAATATTTACTCTAACCTAAGAAGACACTAAAATATGTTGAAGGAGGTAGCAGTAATGTTCTGTGAAGAATTTTATAATAGACAATTATATTTCAACAAATTTGATAACAAATTTCTCTTCTCATCTTTTTGAGAGAGAGAGAGAGAGAGAGAGAGAGAGAGAGAGAGAGAGAGAGAGCGGTTTGATCCCCCTTTTCTCGTGTTGTTTTTCGAATAATATGATGTTAAAATATCTTGACTGAGTCTAAATATCTTGTTACTTTATTTTATTCATTTAAAAACAAATCTATTTGAAGAATATGTCCCCTCAAAACTAACCGCCATGACTTTAATTCATTTGCTTTTTTTATCGAAAGTTTTTTTTTTTCAAAGAAAATCTGCTACATGTAGGTTGTGTCTCCCTCCCTCCCAAAACCTGAGATACATGTAGCTTTCGGGCTGGTATTTTCTTTATGAAAAAATTCAGGTTATTTGATTACCATAGCAATAAAATATAGTAATGTTCTATTTTCCTTTCACATTTTCGGAAATATCTAGATATCGGTTTACATTTTATAAACATTTTGTCATAATCACTTAAGCGTTTCTTCTGAGGTTGAACTTACAGCTTTCAAAGAAGAAGGTAAATGACACTGAATACACCATGTTATGATGGAAAAGTCACTACCATTTATCGGAGAATGTTCTCAAATGTGTCCCGCCGACGAGATTAAATTGTAAGAACAAGTAAAGGAGAGTTTAGTATATGTTTTTGTAAATTTACTTTTTTTACTAAATCGTCAGGGCGTTATATGCAGCTAATATGTCTGTGGCAATTTTGATATGTTGACGGTTCGACCGTTGGAGCAAGCGCAGTTGTGTATATTGTTGGATAGCCTTCCTATTCACTTTTAACTTAGATCCGCCTCTTCATGATCAAACTGCAAGAGACATTCGGAAAGTCTAAACTGCGATGTTACATGACGCCGTATGTTAGTTGCCAGGTCTGGTACAATCACTAGATTTAGCTACGTAGCTTGAATTACCTACATAGCTTTATTTACCTACCTGAAGTAGCTTTATTTAGCTACTAAATCAAACTTATTTCTTAAATTAGCATTTTTCCCAGAAAGTGCAGAAAATTATACTTTGATGTAGTGATAATTTTCAACTTTGAACTCATCTGAAAACAATTCATGTAAAAATTACTCTTAGAGATGTGTCTTTTTCTGCGCAATTGCAATTGTAACGGGAGAGGAGAAAAATGCAGTGGACCAGACCGGGATTCGAACCCGGGCCCCCTGAATCTCCAGTCAGGTGCTCTACCAACTAAGCTATCTGGCCACCGGGGATCGAACCCGTCTGACCGCCACACTCCTCCCTCCTTAAAGGTCTTCGGGCCCCGAAGACACAAACCCAGGCTCTTCCCTGGCAGGTCTTTCACCTGTCACTTTCAGGGCATGGCACAGCACCAAATGTAACGGGAGAGGAGAAAAATGCAGCGGACCAGAGCGGGATTCGAACCCGGGCCCCCTGAATCTCCAGTCAGGTGCTATACCAACTGAGCTATCTGGCCACCGGCGTTCGAACCCGACTGACCGCCACACAATCAAAGTTCTAAAAGTTTTGGGGCTATATACAAAAGTTAACTTTTGATCAGTTACTTCTTTAGTGAAATAACAAAGAAAACCAGTTTTGGTTAACCTGAGCACAATCATCCTCGCAAGCCAGGGGTCCTGAGTCAACACGTTGTCGTTGGACCCCTGGCATATTTCATTCAATATTTGTGGGCTGACTGTAGCGACGTCTTTCGGAAAAATTACAAATCTTGATTGTTTTTCTTATCTCTCAACCAATCACATTAAGCCATTCTTTGATAAACAACTTGTAACACGTGCATTTGAGGTGTCAACTGAATCCATATCTAACTATATTTATGAAAGCTTTAATTTGATTGGTGCTTCTCAATGAGAGAAGCAAGCCCACGATTATTGAATGAAATATGCCAGGGGTCCAATGGCAACGTGTTGACTCAGGACCCCTGGCTTGCGAGGATGGAGCACAATGTGAAGTAATCATACTTATCCACGCCTCATCACACACAATTTGGTGTACGGTTACTCAAACAATGGAAATAATCTTTTCCTTAAAGTGTTCAAATGCAGCAATGTTAAAACTATCTCTGCTTTGGATTGCTTTTTAAATAATACCTAAAATAAATATTAGTAGACATTTACATGGATTTTTGTCTTTTTAATATAAAAAGCAAAATTGTGAAAAGTTACCTTGAACATGTTGAAATAGCTAAATAAAGCTACCCGAGGTAGGTAAATAAAGCTACATAGGTAATTTTAGCTACGTAGCTAAATGCACTGATTGTACTGGACCTGGTTGCATATATTGCAATAAAAAAGACTGAAATGTTTAATTTAAAAAAAAAAGAATGTTATATAAATCTACCATGCATCTATCTACAATATCCATTGAATCAAGGTTAGTTTATTTTTGTTAGCCATTGGTGCCATATGCAATATTCATGATATTATGGAGCAAATATGGGTACTGACTTTACTGTGGAAAAAAATAGTTTGTATCAATGTGCACAGTCTGAATTTTCTTTTCACCCAGACGTTGCTTTAACCCTTTAACCCCCAGTGATGTTAAGAGCTCACAGTGATGAGCGGCACTTTTTGCAATACTAGCTGAGCTCACTATCAATACAGTAAAAATAAATGAGAAACAGACATATTTAGTCCTAACAGTGAGCTTTGCAAACATAGCCAGCTGTGCTTGTGAAGCTCACTGTGAGGACTTATGCCTGTTTCTGATTTATTTTTACTATACGCAGGTCTCTAAGTGACCTCTAAAATTTAGGTGCCAGCTGACTCCTAATAAAAAATATTTAGTCACCAATGCAAATTTTTGGTTGCCAGGCATATTAATAATATCAAGAATTGTTTATACAATTTACATTTTATGCTTGTCCATACAATTAATGTCTAAGGTATCTCTAATGAGTGAGAATTTAATTGGAGAACAATTGACCACTTCACCCATCCAATATACTGTGTTTCACAATTGTCGATTTTCTGGAATCAAAAATTAACTGGGCAGCTAATGTCTTATCTGGTCTACCTGAGCTCTGTGTGCGCTGATGTGATGCAAAATTTTCATTCGCATGTGCGCTGAAAAAACAAACAAGGTGACAAAGAAAACACAAGATATGTTCATTGCTAAAAAATGATTTTCTCAACTTTAAAATTTTATTTTCGCCTCTTCATAAAAAAAATTGTTGAAAATGATTTTAGGTCTGGAATTTGACGATCGCCAATTAGTCAACTTAAAATGGTCGCCAATTTGGCGACTTGTGGAGAAATTTTAGGCGCCAATCAAAATTTTAGGGTGCCATGGCAACTAAATGAGTCACCAATTGGAGCCCTGATCCGTATCAAAAATTGGATTTCTAAATGTAAATGTGAGAAGGTCTGGTAGAATCACTAGATTTATGCACCTTGAATTAATTATATAGCTTCATTTATCTTTTGCTATTTAAATGCGGTTATTACCAAAATGCTTTTTATATAAAACATTGTAAAATTAGAAATATTTGCAAGTGTGTGACTATTTCAACAATGGAAAGGGAACATCATCTCCCCCTTCGGGCCATCCTACATAGTTAAATCTGCATCCTCACAATGTCAGGGGTCCTGAGTTTGCAGTTGGACCCCTGACAAATTTCATTTGATATTCAACGGGCTGACTGCAGCAATGTCTTTTGGGGAAAATACAAAGCTTCTTTGTTTTTCTTATCCCTCAGCCAATCACATTAACCCTTTTGTTAACAAATAATCTTTAACACATGCATTGAGGTGTCAATTGCTCACTTTTCTGTTTACGTTTTATATCACCTGATGAAAATGGTGCTCCTCAATAAGAGAAGCAAGCCTGTAGAATATTGAATGAAATTTGTCAGGGGTCCAGCAGCAGAGTGTTGACTCAGGACCCCTGATGTTGTGAGGATGCTAAATCTGATGATTTTATTAGTCTAATGGTCTGGTCTTCTTACAGAGATTTACTGATGTTCAAGTTATAATGAAGAATTTAATCTTTTAAGGAGAATAAGAGAAGAACTTGTACATCCACTGGAAAAGGTCTTCAAGTCGGGAAGGTTAGTATATTTTATTTGCTAGGTATATTTATGTATAAAATGGTCCTGGTTTGAAGTTTCTGGCATGTTTTCAATCATATTTGGATGGACAATTATTACATGTTTGTCCAAAATTAAAAAGAAAACACAATATGTTGCAAATAAGAATAAGGAAGTATTAAATTAGATATTTAAAAAAACACCAGTCTTTGCGTCACACAAAAAGATAAAATAGTACTGAAGACAAGTTTGGGAAATATTTACTGTGCATGATTAATAAACTAGAAGTGACAGGTCAATTAAAACTTTAGCTGCAGGATGCATAAAATATTTGTTCATTCTTAATGAACTTCTGCATTGAATACCTATTCTTCATGAAAGAAGCCCATTGAGGTTCACATGGTTAGCTATTGATTATAAAAAGTATTGTCTCTGACAGTAACTTCAATCTGTTCTGAAGATGAGCAAAGTCACTTAAAACAGTGTTAGAAACTCACTGTAAAATTAGTCAGACATGCAGGGCTGACTGCTAGTGAAAGTTGTCAGCCCTGCCAAAGATCTACTTGCCCAAGAAAAAAATTGTCTTTTATAAATTTGTTTTTAACGATAATGTGACTGGAACCAGGTCACCATAACTTCAAACCAGAATCTATAGACTGATGAATTCTTCCTATTGGCTTGTTACACTTTGCTAACGATACTATTACTTGATATGAAAAAGATTTATCAAATATATGAATTTTAATTATCAAAAATTTTAACACGTCCATCCGGGCCTCAGTACATGCAAATTTGTTCGCATGCTGCAAAATTTGTGCGTCTCGGGCGGTTGGGCGCACGGTTATTTCAAACACTGCTTATAAATAAAAATTTTCTTAATTTGGTCTTCATATCCTGCACAGACAACATGGACAATGCACATGTAGATGTACATGTACTATGTGGTACATGTATTAGTATGTGATGAATGCTAACAATTGTATTTTCACTGTAGTGCCAGACTCATTTTGATTCAGTGTTCCCATTTTTAACTTAATGGATCATATGGAATAGGATTCTACAAGTAGATCTCATAAACAATCTCTGCCAATACCATGGATGAAAGTTTGGGGGTCTCAGGGAGTTTTCAAGTTTGAAGAAGTTTTTATGGCATGAATTTGGGGGGGGGGGGGCAACTTTTACAAATCTATTAATACTCTTTTGTATGCAAAAGTAAAATACATATGTACATGCATTAAAACAAATTTTACTTATATGCATGATTACAATTTGTACAGTCGTTTGTTTTCACAATTAAGGCTGATTGATGACCCAAACATGATGGTCAAGGAATACAGTAGGTCTGCAGCAGGCAGGCATGAGATTCCAACCCAGGACCTCAGACCTGGCCCAGTGTTACTCACTACTGTAGAATATTTATTAGGCAGGTAAGGTTTAATCATTCTTGTATAATTCCTTGTGAAATAGGTTCCTTTTGTACACATCTGTAAGTGAGTCAACAGCTAATTTTTTATCGTTTTTTTTTCACAGGATCTCTTTAGTTGAAGGAAGGCCTTGGAATGAGGTGTATGACTTTATATTTGACAGACTGAGGGCCGTGAGGCAGGATATGACAATTCAGCAGATAGGGGGCTTCGAGGCTATCACACTCTTAGAATACATTGTGAGGTTCTACATCTATTCTGGATATAGGTATTCAATGCAATGTATATTGTATATGTAACTGCAGGTGATTCAGCACTAAAAAAAAAAGTGCATGTTTTGGGAGTAACAGTTGAATTCGACACCCAAAGTGAAAACCATTGTCAACTGACATGCAAAACAATCATCATTGTTACCCTATAAGCAAGATGTTTATCTTTGTCATTTTTGTTTTGTAATTTTCATGCCTCAAAAAATAATTGTATAGAAAAAAGATAATGAGTGCAAAAAAAAAAAAAAAAAAAAAAATTGGCAAATTTGAAATGGATGGTAAATGTTATTATTTGATCTTTTAATCTTTTTTGTCTAGACTATGTGAAGAGAAGATTGACCATTTTGACCCCAAAATAAACGACCAGCATACACAGGAATGCCTGAAACAGCTCCTCTCTCTGTACACCACTTGTCATTGTTATCTTGAAAACAGGGCTGAGTTTGAGAGCCTCTATCTCATTTTCAATCTAGGTCAGGCAGAAGCTTTACAACATTATTATGATCTGCCCAAAGATTTAAGGTAACTTTTTTTAAAAATACAAATAAAAAAAAAAATAACTGCCCTCGCAATCTCAATTGATCTATTGATCAGTCTCAATTCTCAAAGAAACAGTATCTTTAACTTCTTAAAGTAATAAGGTTTATGGAAAGATTCTCCTTAGTTCCCCTCTTTCTGTGTATATTACACACACACCTACACAATACAAAGAAATGCACAATCCCTGTTATGATGAACTAGCTAGTGAGGTATTTTTTGACTTGCTTATGAGTCCCATGAACTACTGTCTACACATACACAAATTTTAAGAGAAAAGAGTTGAATGGCAAAGTGATTGTTTTTAATTAAAGGCCATTAGGCCATACAAAATTAATTAAAAGTTTCTCAGGCCAAAAATTTCAAAATTCAATGAAACAGACAGGTTCTTTTTTTTTTTTTTTTTTTTTTTTTTTTTTTGAAGCAGGTGTTATATACCTTTTTTTTTCATGTCAGTCATTCAACAAAATGATGATATCAACTGATTCTTACTTTTTTTGTTCTCTCATTAATTATAATATGTATTCAACTTTAAATAATGTTATTCCAAAGTTAATTCATAAAATACTGTATTAACAAGAAATGTATTGTTTATCTAATAAAAACGTCTATCTATTAGAATTTATAAAAAGGGGAATAACTCAATTTTCTTTTACAACTTGGAAAAATAAAAAAATGAGTTATTTCCCTTTTCAGTATGTCAATAAAATTGATCAATGCGGCTGTGTTTGACCTGATGCGGTGGTGCCTGAGAAACTATTGATTAATTTTTTTTTGGCCTTATTATGCTACATTAGCATTGTTGTGAAAAATTATATTTTTGAAAAGATTTTGGTTTATAAAGTTTCTTGCAATAATTTATATCATTGAAATATTTTTCTAGTGTGTTTCTTTATCTTTGGAACAATAATTTTGAATTTATTTTTTTGCTTTTTTCTCCAGAGAACATAAGTTGATGGAAGGATCTTACATGCTAAGTGTAGCTTACTATTTGGGAAACTACAATAACGTTTTAAAAAGTCTCAAGTCTCCATGCTTTACAAGGCATCCTTTGGTGCTATGTGCCTTCCATAGAAATCTGACACAGTTACAAAGGTAAGCCTTTTTTATGCCCCCATATAGAAGATTCGGGGTATATAGTTTTTGCCCTGTCCGTCCATCTGTCTAGCTGTTTGTTTGTCCGCAAAAATTTAACCTTGCCCAAAACTTTTGATTGGTTGGAGCTATGACTTTCATATTTCACATGTATATTCTTTGTGACAAAACCTTTCATGGGTACCATCATATTTGACCTTTTTACCTTGACCTTGGAGTTTGACCCAGTTTTGCAAAATTTTATGAGACTTTAACCTTGGCCATAACTTTTGAACAGTTGGTGCTTGGTGTTTCAAACTTCACATGTATATTCTTTGTGACAAGACTTTTCTTTGGATACCAACAACTTTAACCTTTTGACCTTGACCTTGGAGTTTGACCTACTTTTGAAAAACTTTAACCTTTGCCATAACTTTTGAACAATTGGTGCTTGGGATTTCAAACTTCACATGTGTATTCCTTGTGACAAGAACTTCCTCTGGATACCAACCAATTTGACCCTTTGACCCTTTGACCTTGACCTAGAAGTTCTACCTACTTTTGAAAAACTTGAACCTTGGCCTTAACTTTTGAACGGTTGGTACTAAGGCTTTCATTCTTCACATATGTAATCCTTGTGACAAGTCCTTCCTTTGGATACCAACCACTTTGACCCTTTGACCTTGACCTAGGAGTTTGACCTACTTTCGAAAAAGTTTTACCTTGGCCATAACTTTTGAATGTTTGATGCTAGGGCTTTCATACTTCACATATGTAATTTTTGTGACAAGGCCTTCCTTTGGATACCAACCACTTTGACCCTTTGACCTTGACATAGGAGTTTGACCTACATTCGAGAAACTTTAACCTTGGCCATAACTTTTGAATGGTTGGTGCTAGGGCTTTCATATTTCACATATGTAATCATTGTGACAAGACCTTCCTTCGGATACCAACAACTTTGACCTTGACCTTGACGTTTTACTTACTTTTAAAAAACTTTAACCTTTGCATAACTTTTGAATGGTTGGAGCTAGGGCTTTCAAATTTCACAGGTATCTTTTGGTACCAACATTTTTTTATCTTTTGGCCCGGATTTTGACTTGCATTTGAGAAACTTTAGCCTTCGCCATAAGCTGCCATACGGGGGCATCAGTGTTTCACAAACACATCTTGTTTTTCTAAGTCTGTTTACATCTACCTGTAAATACCAAAGCAGGAAGAAAAAGAATTTCACTGACATCAGAATGGCAGAACATTTATTATCATGAAGCCATTGTTACATGAATAATGTCAACATTTTTACTGGAAAAGTAAAATGTAGAAGTCACTCAAAGATCATATATTGTGGAATCATCATTGTTCATGGGGGACCAATGTTCCTGGATTTCCCTTGGGTCACCCTCACCCAAGAAATTACATCTCTAAAAACGTTTATTTTATAAACATATTAATTCATTGAATCTACTGTATAAACGAGTTACCCACGAAATTCAGTCCCCACTAACAAGTTTTGCTTGCCCACATTGACCCCCACATATAAAAATGATTCCACAGTACAGTATAATTTGTCTACTCCAGATTTTGAGTACCCTGGAATTTTTGTTCATTTCAGTCTTAAATTTTAGTCCCATGCACTTCTTTTGCAAAAATGGTATAAAAAAATTATGTGTTAATCTGGATATTGTCTATTCTGTATTCCTTACAGCTGTTTTGGTCCCAACTATAAACTCATAATTAACAGTAATTTTATTCTGTAATCTGGCCACAGAATATTACTTGATCAAGTCGCTTTGTTGCAATTAACACTGGACATGGAAGATGTGCTATCACATGTTTTCACAAACTTTTGCTTTTACATTATTACATTAAGTCAGTTATATTATATGCCCAAAAAGAACACATCTCTATTAAATAAACAAAAAGTTTAGTTACTTGTAAGTTTTAAATAAAATGCATGTTTAACTTGCTTTAAACTCATAATATCACACTGTATAACATAAAATCAATAACAGTAATATGCTGTTTAAAAATTAAAATATAAATCAGGATCGACCTCCAATGTATAATTAAAAAAAAATGTGCCCTAAAATTAGAGGGAAAACAAGAATATTAACTTTATATAAAAAGTTCAATGTTAATTCAGTAATTATCAGATGGTCAACAATTGTGTTTATGTTGAATGTGCTATTTGACTTTCAAAAATTGCATTTTGAAGTTTTTAAATGACATGAACATGTGACTGTAGAATTGTTGTTTTAGACATGTTAGAAGTCTCAAATTTGTGAACAAAAAAGAAAAAAAAATGTCAGCATTTATACTAATAGTATACTCTTGATTATTTTCTGGATTCAAAGAATATGGGTTAAGTTATTTCAAATATTAGAAAATTTTGTGCTCCCCCAATGTACTGTAATGTGATTATATTGTAGATAAAATAAAAATACCTGTCTTTGACAATCAAATTTCATCAATTTTTAATTTTTAGTTTATAGAATTGACATCATCATTACATGTATTTTTTGTTTTTTTTTTCTACTGATATTCTATTGTGTTTTTTCATTTTGCTTCTTTCTTCCTCCTATTTCAGAAGAGCTCTTAAAATCATGAGTCATGGATACAGTTCTAAAGCTTTGAGATACCCAGTACAGCACTTAGCAGATCTTTTGTGGTTTGACAGTTTGTCTCTCTGTGTAACATTCTGTGAGATGTGTGGTCTCCAGGTGAAAGGAGAGGAATCCATTATTTTTCTTAAATCATCATACAGGGAGCCTGAAAAGGTAAAAAAAAAAATGCATGCACACACATACATACACTTACAAATGCATGCATGCACAAAGAAGAAGTAGTTCAAAGGAAAAGTTCACCATCATGTCCCTTTCTCACCTTATACTTTGTAAAAGATTCAAATACATGTACAGTAATATGCCATTGAAGTGCAGATAAATGTGTACCAAAATTGAATGAAGATTTTAATAAGGCCATTTTTAAAAAAAATGTTTGGTTGCCCTCTCCTGACCGACTTTCTAAAAATTGCCCGACTCAGAACTTTTTAATCTCCAGGAAGCAATTATTTTTTTATGCATTTAGAACAATAGATTTTAAAAATGCAGCATTGATCTTGAAATTTTTGTTGGAAAATCTTTTTTTCACCTACCTAATTTTTTCATCCTGAGTTGCGAGAGGGCAAACAAACATTATTTTAAAGTTGGCTTAACAGAACTACTTTATATATTTAGGTTGTTCTGAGCATTCAGCTTACATAAAACTGCAACAGATGACATAAAACTGCAAAATTTCTTTTATTTTTCTTTTACAGGTCCAATCAGTTCACATTTCGGGTATTGATTCTCTTCTTTGCCAGCAATCTCTTGGAACTTTACTACTTGGAAAGGAGAAGTCATTTGATCTAAATTCATTAAAACAAAGTTTAGGCAATGCTGACCTGTCTCAAAACCAGACAAGTGATGGACATAATTACAAACCAAGAAGTGCAAGGGGCAGAGGAAGAGGAAGAGGTCAGAGTTCAAAGGAAGATAATTGTGCAAGGTCAAAATGTCAACCTGTAGGAAAGAATCAAGGTCAAAAATGGAACTCTGAACCAATAAATCATAAGCCATGTACAAAAGAAGTTGAAACAAATTGTGATATTAAAGATGTGAACTGTAATCTTAACTATGATCATAAAGATTTTACAAAGGATAAAAAGAAACAGAATTTTTCTGGTGAGAGGAATTCAGACAGGACTCAATTTTTTAAGGAACAAGAAATGAATTTTACTGGAGAGTGCTGGGGAGATGAGCTCTTCACCGAGGAAGATATGAAAGTCACTTGAGACGAAAATTCTTTTCTCTATTTTCATCTGATTTATTTTTCTTTTTGAAGTTTTATATTACAATTATTTCTTTTATAATTGTTTTACAAAATAAATGCTAAAGCTGCATATGCATTATGTAAAACTTGCATTTCTAATTTCTTTTATTGAATTTGAAGCAGAGGTTCAAAATTAAGTTGTTTTTGTAATAAAATTGTGGACTCTGTAGACTTGTTTAATGATTTGAATGAAAGTCCGTAAATCAATTATTATACACAATCATTTTTATTCCATATTTTTTTATTGTATTGTTCATAACGAATAATATTCAAGATTTAGATAATGTACAAACCTATTTTAAGTCCTTTACCATTTCATGACCATAAATATCTAAGAGCTGGAGTTGCATGCAAATCTTGGGGATATTTCAGGCTCATGATAAAAAGTTGGGTGAAATACTGATTTTATAGCAGTATTTTCTTTTCAAATTGAGAGAAATTTCAAAAACTACATATAGTTTTGACAGTTTTGAAGTGTTTACAAATAAAAGATTTTATCATCCATATGATGACGAGGGATGTAAGCTTCAAAACTGAAATAAGCTGGCTTAGAAATGGATATGATTTACATCTTTTCATTCCTTAGAAGTTAGTGCTATTTTATATCCATGAAATCATTATTTTTTTTTAGTAACTGTTTTATATGTAGAGGTATTCTCAGATTGAAATATTTGTTCATGATATTGTCAGTTATACAAAGTACATGCGAGTTAATTACATGTACATGTGTAATGCATGTACTAGAATGTAATAAAGCAAAACAGGTTATCAAAATATTAAACATAATAAATTTAAAATTATGATATTTATTTAATTTAAATATACAGTTTGTTGTTAAACACTCTTGACCAATCTTATCATACTAGTACATGCATGTGAAAATGGTGCCTGTGATTTCTATTTTGCTAGTTTAAAAAAAAAAGAGAGATTAGCATTAGGATATTAAAGGAAGAATGGAACAATAAATGTCATGATTGAGCTTAATATTGTAAGTTGATGAATAGAAAGCAAGATGTTCTGTTGCATATTATTAGTGTAATTCTTTGTACAGTGCATGTTCATGAACCATGTGTCAAAATTTTTATGCATGTTTGCTCTATTTAATTTGCCATTTTCAAAGATAAATACAGTTAAAAAAAAAAATGCTAGAATTTTGCTTGAATTGACATATTGTGTCAAAGCTGGGTAAATGTATAATAATATTCTTAATCTAAGATTTTTTTTTTTTGGTATGTCATTTATTGATAAACTTATTTAATGTATACATTTGCCTGTATAAAGAAAATTTGCGTATATAAAGAATTCTAATAAGAATTAAATTTTAGCCCGTGTGATACCTTTGTAACAGGAAAGGAGAAAATGTATAGATTGACCGGGAATCGAACCCGGGACCCTACATCGCTAGTCAGGTGCTCTACCGACTTTTTTTATTTAATCTTTTATTAGGTGCTCTACCGACTGCGCTACCAAGCCGATATGCACTGCCCAAACCATTACATTCCCCTCCCCTTGAATTGTCTTCGCCCTCGAAGACACAACCCAACTTCTTATTTGCCCCTGGTAGGACTTTCACCTGCAAGTCCAGGGGTGGTTAACGGCACCATATCATGTTACAGGAAAGAAGAAAATGTACTGTTGGACCAGAAATCGAATCCGGTACCCCTGCATCACTAGTCAGGTGCTCTACCGACTGAGCTTCACGGACCAAACCATTTCACCTGCATTTATATGATTATGATCCTGTATTATAAATATTGACCATAAAAGTAATTTAATTTACTGTATAATGTTAAAGATGAATTGTAAATATTTGAACTTTAATAGCATCTTCTTTGAATGAATGAACCAATTGCTTAAAAGATAGTTATATGCTCGGTGAAACATGGAGAAAAAAAACCTCATAATCATGCACCCTAGAAGGGGAAGGACAAAGAATTAAAACTGTTACTTTAATTGTAAATCCAATATCACAGGGATCTAGAGATTTTGTAGCATAAATTGCTGTTAAAGTTCTTGAATGTGAAAACGGTGTTGGACATGACGATGATAGCCCTATTGTATCTTCTCAGACCTTTCCGCTTGTCATGATTGGACGAAAGCCCGTCGACGTGCAATTGCAAATGTTACGACCAAGCTTAAATTGAAAGTGAAAGGCTTTGAGGTCAGAAATTACCACATATTGGGAAGGTACATGACATGTACCAGGTTAATATGTAAAAATATAAAAGTCCTGCCTTTTCAGCGCAATATTTACAGCCAAATTAAAAAAAAAAAGAGAATAGTAAAACTGCAAGGCCAAAGAAATTATAGTACATGTGGAAAAAATCCTTTTACAGGTAATGCACATGTGCAATATGAAATTTCTTCTCTCCTTAAATAAAAAGTTATGACCAAGATTAAATTAAACAATAAAATGCTTTGAATTTTGTTGTTAGTACGGGAATTAACGTTGCAGCTATTGCTTACGCGGGTTATGTATTTTCTTTCCGCAACAGCCGCAACATTAATTTCTATACTAACCAGCAAAGAAAGACATGTTATTGTTTATGTTTATGTCTATATAAATAATTATATAAAGTAGGATTAAGTTAAGAAATGAATTTCATTTTTGAAGATTCATGAGGACATGAACTACGACGCTTCACGCCGGCATATTTCATGAAGCGCGTTAGCGCTTCATGATAAATATGCCGGCGTGAAGCGTCGTAGTTCATGTACCTCATGAATTTTCAAAAATTAAATTCATATCTTATATTTACATTATTTTTTTCTGATGATTTGCCACAAATAACGCCATTCAACTGTCATTTTTAAAGCAAAACAGTTTGCACTATAGTTTTGACGTCAAGTAAGGTATTATGACGTAACAATGGAGATATTCCTGCTCATCCATGGTAGTTCATGAGAAAATGAACTGTATTCTATTATGTATTATTATGCTTCCTGTCAGTTTGTCTCTACATAGTCAATACCCAACTATTTTCGCATAGTGGTCTAAGGATTTATATAGCGTAAGCACACTATGCCGAAATAGAGCACGGCTTCTTTTTCTGAAGAAAATCCAACAGCGCCCACGCCGGGGATCGAACTCACGACCCCAGGATTATCAGTCCGACGCGCTACCGATTACGCTAGAGACGCCGTTATCTATAACACTGTATTATAACATATATAAACTTAGTTTCAAAGATTTTACACTAAAAGAAAAAAAAAATAAACAAAATAATTTTTATAAAATAGTATCTTGCAATTTTTTACCCTTCACACAACTAAATTTCCCAACTATTTGTACATGGAACATTCAAAATATCAAAGACAAAAGATTATGACGTACATGTAGCACAACGTGACGTCATAATAGGGGTGTACTAACATGAATGTAAGAGGTGATAAAACATTGGAAAGGGAGAAAATATTGTCGTTTTTATACAACAGTCAGCATAATAATAACAATAGTGTTGTACTTTGCATGCACTATGCCTAAATAGTAGTCAGGGTTTGACACATAGTGCACTCGCCTCCGGCTCGTGCACCATGTGTCAAACCCTGACTACTATTTAGGCATAGTGCATGCAAAGTACAACACTATTATATAAAAGAATCATAGGGGAAATTTATTGGAAATGTAAATATTATAAAATATAATTGTATTATTAATTAATGAGTCATTGAATGTTTCATTGATGGAAGAGCCAATACTAAAGAAATTAATACAGGTGTCTTGCTTAGCGGCATTAAAGTATTGTTAATGACCGTGGTTTTAATAAGAATTAAAATATATTTTGTGGATGTAAATATGTTTTAGTGTATGACAGACAGACTGACGAACTGACATATGCATGGGATTAAATGTCCTGGGGCTTCCTCGAGACCGGAGACGAAAGTTCGTCAATTGCAGGATTTAAAATGTCTGAATACATAAATTAAACTTTTGAATAATTGATGCATTGATATCGTATGTCAATATTATTGTTTATTTGGATGTATTTCTACTAGTCTTTCTTTGTATTCAATAGTAATATTAATCCCCATAAGTACCTTTCGAACAAAAATAATAAGATCACTCTTGAGACTTTCTGCGGTTATTCTACACAGTAGTGAATGGGATTTCCATTTATTATTTTTTTTTTCAATTTAAATATATTTGATCGTTTTTTAATACTTTTTTCAGTCACGACATTTAAGTAAAAATATGCTTTCATTGTTTTTATCTATATATTACCTAATTCTATATAATTCTATATTTTTATTCCTAGTCTTTTTTTCCGAAAAAAGACAAATCAAAATGCCTCAATAACTCAAGGTCTGGTAAACTGAGAATCCATATTAATACTAATTTAAAACTAAGGGATTCGTCAAAAGTAATTCCAATCGAAAGCGTTCATTATGAATTAAACATTATCCCTCGGATAGATTCTGCTTACGAAAAAAAAATCTTTAATTTGATATATTTAAAATGATTTCCTTTAATTTTTTTTTTTGATTTTACTACCCTTTTCATGCTCTAGATATAAATAAATAAAATAATTTTTGTTCGACCGATATTTATTGTGAGGAGGATCCATTGCTCTCAGCTTTGAAAATAAAAGTATACTCTAGCGGGCACTTAGGATTGACTAAATGTACTTATGAATTTAAACAAAAGATGACAGCCTATTGTAAAAATATTTTGTACGCATGAATAATTAAAAAATAATAGGTTTTTGAACTTTTATTACCCTAATATGAAATATACATAATTTAGACATTGACTTTCCAGTTTATTTGTCACGCTTTGAGTCTTTAATTCGATGCATTTGGCTTAAAGTAGGTAACAACATCAACTATCAATAAAATTATTCTGCATTGGACTAGAACTGTTATCATACAGCGTAAACTGCTTTGAGTTTCACTGACTATGGGATAATGTAGTTGTGCATGCTCAAGGTAAGAAAAAAAATAATACAAGTAGTGTTTTAACCTCTCTATTGATACAATCCAACCGTGAAAAAAATGTTTTCTTTATTGAAATCTTTTAAACCTTGATAATGTCTCTATCTGCATTTTGACACGATATCTGTCTTTTTAAGGGTGAAATCATCAAATAGAACGATCATTTCTTTTCAGAAAAAAAGGAAGCTGGAGAACGATCAGGAAACACACCGGAAATCGATATGCATTTCCGTTCCCTTCGTAAAACTATTTACAGATTAGTGATATTGTTGGATAATTTATTATGTTGTTGTGGCAGTCTTACGATTAGCTATTCGAAACTGCAGTATGGTTATAGACTTGACAGAAGGATGATAGACTCCTTCACAGATTACAGTATTTTGGATTGTGTGGAAGAATGTCTGAGGAGAAAGAGATGCAAGTCTATAAGTTATTATCAAGGAGCACATTATTGTGAAATTAACTATGAGAGCAGGAACACATCATCGTTAATGTATGTACAAGATGCTGGTTGGATCTACAGCGACATAGAGGATTGGGACAATGTAAGATTTTCTACAGTAAAACACGGTTTCATATAATACGATTATAATGAATTCAACTTGCAATGTAATGATCCTCAAAACCTGCAATTTAAAAAAGTATCATATGAACTATCGAATATTAGGTATTACGTTTATAACACATTAAAATTGTTCGCGCCTGGCACTTCGCTTTATAGGCATGCTTTACTGCATAAGGGTAGGAAAAGAGTACAGTCAAACCTCGTTATCTCGAGCTACATGTATCCAAGAGTTTGAGATGTTGAGGGTAAAAATCATCAAGAAAAAGTGGTTGGAATTGCCAGATCATTTCGACATATCGCCGAGATATCAATGTTCGAGATAACGAAGTTAAAATGTATCACCCTCTTTATTTGAATGAGAAAACATCGGGAATACATATCCGTATGTGATTTATCCTCATATCTTTTATGATCTTTATTACAGCGCTTTTACGCTAATTGCATTCTAAAATGTTTTTAATACCAATTGCTTAATATAATATAATATTTCCCACTTTCATTAAAAAAAATCTGAGGTGATGACGCAACATTTCACATGAAAAGCGGAAATCTTATTATTATAGACAGTGAAGGCACATGTAAAGTTAAATAAGATTTATTTTTGTTGTTGGCGAACGAGGCCACGGCCTTAGGGCTGCCGGATGATAAATTGGCTTGCCCTAAAATCAAATATGCATTACATTAAGCATTAGATTATGCATTACATTAAACATTATGCCACATCATCATTTGAGGGTTACTAGTTTCAACCACTGTCCAATGAGGAGCCCTAATATCATCATACATTATTCATTATTCAAACATTATGCATCCATCATTATACATTATTCATTATGCATACATTCTGCATTTCATCATTATACATCGTGGCATCTATCATTAAACACTATTCATTATCCATACATTATGCATTTCATCATTATTCATTGTGGCATCTATCATTAAACACTATTCATTATACATACATTATGCATTTCATCATTATACATGATGACATTATACATTATGACATGATCATTATACATTATTGGCTTCATGATTGAGAAAGATAAACAAAATTATACTGGTACTGGGAACAGATACTCTGTATAACAAGCATTCTGAGAGTATTGCATTAGCAATACTAGTCCCCTACTGGCAAGTGTAATCTGGTTTCCGTTAAAAATTGAAAATGCCTTAATTCCGTCAAAAATCAATGAAGAGGAACGAAATGCAAACTTGATCTATAACACATCAAGGTAAAGTCACATACAAAAAATCAGCTCAATATCTGCAAGCGTTTAGAAAAAAAGTGCGGAAAACCCTGAAAAATTGAGAAGGTCGTAATTCCATCAAAAATAATTGAAGCGGAACAAAATGCAGACTTGATCTGTAACTCATCAAGATACACTCACATACCAAAATTCAGCTCAATATCTGCAAGCGTTTAGAAGAAAAGTGCGGAAAACCAAGTGGGACAGACTGACAGACAGACAGAGGGACAGACGGACAGACAGACAGACGGACAAACAGACGGACGGACAGACAGACAGACAGACGGACGGACAGACTCAGAGGATACCTATAGTCCCTTCCAGTTTCACCGGTAGGGGACTAATAATGCTATCAAATCTATAAAAGCCAAAAGCGTCGCGAAATATCGCCACATGGTTGTTCAAGCAATGGGAGAACAACCACCGCCAATAATATTGAAGGATGAGCGACGCTTACATTGACTGGCACCTACGTCCGCCACTGAGAGAGCAGACTTGTTGCAATTTACTTTAAATTGTATAATAGTATGTCATTACCAAGTTCAGAAAGATGAACCCAATCCTTAACAAATAATCTAGCTGCTAGAATCCCAAGATATCTCCAGATAACTGATAAAAAACCATTTTTTACAACAAACAATGTGCTCATAAAACTTTTAATTCTTTTGACTGCAAGATTTTAAGATTTAACATTTTTACTGTAGCACCATGAAGATCTGGGAAAAATATTTTGTGTTGAAAATTAAAAAAAAAATACTAAAACATATTTTATGTCTTTTTTGTTTTTATATGCACTTATTGGCAAACTCCTGCCTATAATGTTAAGCTTTTGAAAAAAAGAATTATATATTAAGAAAAAAAATCATTTTAGAATTACAATTTAACATACTGAAAGGTGGGGGTATTTCAAATCCTCCTATTTTGGGTAAATAAGTATGTAGGAGAAGTGTCCCATACCACCTTAGCCGACTCTCAAAAAGGCATGGTACGCTACATGCTAATGAAAAGGCAGAGCAAAATAGGTATGTTTCAAAATTAGAGGAACACACTAGACGAACTCGGTATGAGCTTTTTCAAAATGTTTTCGATATTTGGTAAACGACGGTCAACTGATTTACAGGAGCGTTTTATACCCTCTAATAGTTTTCTAACTAGAAAGTATTGTGTCTAGTCAGTGGTACCTGTCAGCTTGCATTTAAAACTTATACCAGATAAATAAGATAATATTGTGCTGTACGCTAAATCATGAAGGGACAAGTAAGCGATAAATATTCACAAGTGAGAGAGAGGAGGACCCCAAATATCATCTAAACCGTAGACATTCCTGAAAGTAGAAAATATCTTTAAACTATTTGAGTACTGTAGTTTCCTGTTAGGGGCAATAGAAACAAGCATTCTGAGAGTATTGCATTAGCAATACTAGTCCCCTACCGGCAAGTGTAATCTGGTTCCTCTTAAAAATTGAAAAAACCATAATTTCGTCAAAAATCAATAAAGAGGAACGAAATGCAAACTTGATCTATAACTCATCAAGGTAAAGTCACATCCAAAAATCAGCTCAATATTTGCAAGCGTTTAGAAGAAAATTGCGGAAAACCTTTAAAAATTGAAGAGGTCGTAATTCCGTCAAAAATCAATGAAGCGGAACGAAACGCAAACTTGATCTGTAACTCATCAAGATACACTCACATACCAAAAATCAGCTCAATACCTGCCAGCGTTTAGGAAAAAAGTGCGGAAAACCAAGTGGGACAGACTGACAGACAGACAGAGGGACAGACAGACAGACAGACGGACGGACAGACTCAGAGGAAACCTATAGTCCCCTCTGGTTTCACCGATAAGGGACTAATAAACGCCGCAGCCAAGTTGTGCATTACCTGCGCTGTCTGTGTACATGTATAAGCGAAGCTCAAAATTTGAAAGCCAATCAATTTCTAAAAAAATTGAAGGTACCGTTGAATTGTTTGAGGAAACTTAATCAAACCTGTAGTTTGCTTTTCATACCAGCATTAACCCTTGTAAAATGAGACGAATGTTTAATACCACACATGGCATCGCAAAAAAGACGATTAAAGGCTCGAGCTGCGGGGATGGCTTTAGCGCCGAAATTCGGAGAACCTACTAAGGACTGTCATTTAATCTCATTTAAGATTTTCCCAAATTTTTTTCAATAGTTTTCTTAAGTTCAATGTTTTTTTTTCCTCTGGTATACTTACAACCATTTTTTCTGTCTCAATTTCTATACCGAGAAAAAGTAACGAATGCTTCGGACCAACAGCTTTTTCCTCTGCTAGCGGAATTCCAAATTCATGACAAGTATTCTGAAAGTTTGTCATTAATAATTTACATGCTTTGAAATCTCTAGCAGTGAAAATAAAATCCTCTAGATAATACTTTATCGTTTCTATGCCTGTTTTTTTTTTTACTGTAAAAAATGGGCAATTTTTTTCCAAAAAGGGCACAACTTGCAGAACAACCCATAGATAAACAAATATCATAATAAAACTTGTTATTGAATCTAAAACCTAATAGTTCATGATAGAAGGATGTACTGGTAATAAACGAAATGCTGACTTGACATCCATTTTTGCAAGAAGGGAGTTTTTACCTAATGATGCAATCATGTCTAATTAAAACTTCATCAAGGTGTGTAATGGACCGTTCAATAATCAGGATCGATAAAATCGTTGACACTATATCCTTCGGGAAATGATAAATGATGTATTAGGTTCCGACTCCGACTTTTTTTTAGCAACGATACCTATACGTTATATTCTAAAATTTTGCAAGGGTACTTGAACAAAAGGAACTGCGACTCGAGCTAATGCAATTTATTTGTCTATTCTTTGCTTCACTTCGTTGGATGTTACAGAATTGATACTAAATTGGTACATGCTGATGGAAAACGATGACCTGAATATTTGATTTTAAAGCTTCTCTTAATTCGTTAGCATCTGAAATTGTAGGATACATATCAAGGAAAGAAATCATATTATTTACATTAATAGGTGTTGTTCCTGGTTTTCTGATAATTTGATGACTGTGTTTGTTTTCAAAAACGAGGAAAAACACGAGGAGAGGTCTTGTCATTGTTAGACATTAGAGATTTGTTTGCATTTTTATATGTTTACTGACACTTTGTTGCAGGGTGCTTACCAGAACACTTCAAACAACTGTGACTATATTGATAATAAGGACGAACACAAAAACATTTGTTATTATAATCAAAACAAGCTTATTAATGGGGTGTAAGTTGTCTAGGAGCACTGAATTTATGTATACAAGCCACCACAATTCTTGGTCAATTTTATTCTAAGGAATACAAGCATTTCTTGCTTTCTTAAGACGAAATTGCCATATTCTCTCCAACCAAATCCTGTTGACCGACTAGCAGCGGCTTTAACATTTGCCATATACTTAAGCAACTGCTGTGCTTGGTCCGAATGAGCTCTTAAGTATATACTCATGAAAATAAAAAATGAGTCTAATTACCATGTATGAATGTCGAGAATCTTGATTTGACTAGCTGGTTTGACAGACAACTGACCATTATTTGAAACTATTTTGTTCTCTTTTTGATCGCTGACTGGATGTCTATCAAGTAAACTGTGCATTCAATAAATTCACCTTTAACATTTTTTTGTTTTGTAGATTGATGTACATGCATACTTAATCGTCAACGCTTGTTATTGCATTTTTAAATTCTAAACATGACTCTAAATTGCTCGATTCCATACGTACAGGAACTAAATTAGTATCTTTTTTTGCCACCGGCTGTTTATGGTTCATTATGACATCAGTCCGTTCAGTTTCATCACTTGCGGCCACTGCACTGCTTGAAGGTCCAGAGTGTTCTGGTGTTACTGTTTCAACTCGTGTAGATACCAGGCTTCTGTCTTGTCGACTGTATAGTCTGTTTTAATTCGGGCAAGATTAGCTCCAAAACTGATGAGGCCACTTCCTGAGTGGGTTCTGAGGAAACTTTTGGCTTTTCCCCTGGTAGTCTTGCTTTTCCGAAAATTTTCTTGTTTTTCTTTTGAAGACTGAGGTTCCGCCTTGGTGGAAGTCTGTCGAGGTTGAATTATTTTTACAATAAGTTGACTTTTTCCAAGCGTGTTTTAGTGTTTTCTGACAAGAGTCCTGCAAACACAGCTGATTTGTGAAATATGTTTACAACCGTTGTACTACAACGTAACGTAATGTAAGTTAAAATATATGACGACATAATGCCTAGGTACAGAAAAATATTTCCCGCAATTTTATTGGGTAAAAGTGAACTAGGTATGTTTAAATTGCTATAATAATGATAATAATTTGATTTATTTTATAGTGAAAATAAATTGTATTATGTAGTTCATGTAGCTCGAGAAGATGATCATTTAGCTTTAGATTTGTTTAGATTATTTTGAATCATGTATCCCCCGATAACTAAACTTATTAAGCAGCATATAGAATTTGAGCCTTCATATTTAACATTCACGTTAAAAAAGGAACAAACTTCATACCAAAACCATTGGCAAAGTGTTTTTTTTTTTTTATTGATTTATTTGTTTATTAATTATTTTACTTGTGGAATAAAAATATTATGAATATACAGAAAATACACACAAATAATTCCTTTGAAAAACTTATAGACAATATATTAGCCAGGCACACCTTCCTGATTACAAACAATTTAATAAAGCCGTTTTTGTGTTGTTGTTTTTTTCTAAACTGATAAATCTTCTCTAACAAAAAAAAATACTATAGTTAACTATAGTTTACTATAGTAAATAAAAGTGTCAAAGTTATCACTATAGTAAATCAAAGTTTTCAAAGTGATCACTATAGTGTCAAAGTGATCACTATAGTAAATCAAAGTTTTCAAAGTGATCACTATAGTAAATCAAAGTTTTCATAGTGATCATTATAGTAAATCAAAGTTTTCATAGTTATCACTTTAGTAAATCAAAGTGTCAAAGTTGTCACTATAGTAAATCAAAGTGTCTAAGTTATCACTATAGTTAACTATAGTAAACTATAGTTAAATATAGTATTTTTTGTTAGGGAATTACCTCAAGAATAACTTTAATATTGCCTTTTATTATCACTTTATTTTTACTTTAAATTAAGTGATATTGCTCGATAAGGTTTCTGATACGCATCTCAGTTTCACTTTTCAAATGCAACATTGATAAAAAGAAAAAGAACGTTTGTATGAGTTATTCAAATATTTGAAACTGTGCAGCGACAAAATTTGACATTGCTTGTCAATTTTTCCATAGGAACTTATTGGTCCGTGTTCAAATGCAAACTGCACTGAAAACGAGAAATGCGATCAGCTTTCATTTCAGGAATTTAAATGCATTTTGACAGGTAAGAACTTCAGTTTGTTTTACAGATGGATGGATAGATGATGAATTATTTAAGGAATAAAATTTAATAGCTAAAAAAGAAAGATCTTATCAATATATCAATAAATAAAAAAAAAAACAATAATCATTTGTAAAGATCTATTTCATGAATTTTAATTTTTTACCGATGCTGTTTAATATCAATTCCTGAATTCATGTAATAAAAAAACCCTACCATGATATCTCTTTAAGAAAGACACAAAATGAATAGATCTATCAAGGATGCATACTTTTCATATAATAAAAATGTGTGTGTAAATGTACATGCATTGGGTACTGTCATGAGAAAAAAGCCATAATCAATAAAAGTAATTTCAAACATGGTATGTTTCTTTCTCTATATAATTTTTCATAGCTTTAATTTAAACCATTCTACCGTCGGAGAGATTGAAGCCAAAATAAGAAGCTTGTAGTCGAGTTTTATTGAACGTGTTCACAAATAATTTCTTACAGACTGTGGAGTACCCACAGATAAGAATGTGAGTTTCAGTATGGTAGACAGGTGGGATGGAATTGGAATTTATAGAGGGATACATCTTAAATGTGCAGAAAATTATAACCAAACTGGATCACAGCTGTTTGTTTGCCAGTCAAACGGAAAATGGAAGAGTGATTTAATCTGTGAAAAGGGTATATATACACCTTTCATATTCATTTCGTAAAGATTCCTTAAAGATAAAGATTTGTTGAATTCGTTTGTCAACTTAAACTATTAATATATAGTTTCCAAAGATTTCATATCGTTTAATGGCGATTAAGTAGCGTAGGTATCGCTGGTTAATTAAAAGTTTACTGTTTGTAGATGTTTATTTTTATTTTTCACTATATTATTATAAACTATTTCATTAACTTTGGGTGGAAAGTTGGGTGTTCGAATAGATAAAGTCTTGACTTTTTCTTCACACAGAGCGAGGTATACCAATATAATCTACAGTGAGCTATAGTTATTTCCCTTATATTTTTACTTTACTACCTTAAAATATCATTTAATAATTTGATTTTTTATGAAATTTTTGAAAATTGGAACAGATTTCAATTGAATAACAATCAACATATCGATATATTTTTTTTTTTTAGCTTTAATGAATTGTAAATCCATAGCAATCTTTTTTTTTTTTTTTTATTTTTTTTTTAAAAAGTAAATTCCTCTTCCTTTAGCATCTTGTTTCAATAGATGCAAGGCCGTCAGTAGAGCGCTCCGTGATCGGAAGGTCGTGTGTTCCAATCATGGCTGCGCCTGTCCTTAGACAATAAAAAATAGGTAGCATAGTCATTCTACCAAAAACATGCCCAATTAAGAATATTTTATGTCGCTTACGTATTTACCGTTGTAATATCTTAACTATAATTTCAAAGATCGATTTCAACTCTAAGACTTAACATACATACATGGTTTTTGTAAATACTTACCAATATATATTATGCATGTATATAAAGTTTTAATATGAACACAATGTAATGTTGAAAAACATATTCCACTGCAAATCTTAATGTTGCTTCATTCATTTACAAATTTCAAGATGAAATTTTCACCCGTATAAGCGTTCGAAATAGATTGCAACGATTGTTAAAAAAATTTTTTTTTCCTAAATAAAAAGAAAACAAACCACTTCTTGCAAAAAAATGCATGAATTTTCTTTCATAAGAAATCATAGCATGTCGATGAAAATCAATTAACTTCTGAACGATTTTGTTTTAAATTGAACGCACAGAATGCAGATTTCAAAAAGAACTGAAAAAATATCTGAAAGTGACCATGGAACCTAATATCATCGATTCTAGTTGCGACTCAGGTAAATTTGACCATTACATTTTCGACATAACAAATTGAATTAGACAAAAACAATTGTCTCTCTTAAAAAATAACATCCATAACGGTAATTCGGGAATATTTTTGCATTTAAGGTATAAACATATTTATTATTTTGGGAGCGAAATGCTTCATACTTTTGTTTAACATCTTAAACAAACTTTAATTTTAATTATTGCCGAGAATTTCAACTTAAATTGCTGGAAGTTAACTTCCATACTGATTAATTTCCGTAACGATATTTTTACCGAATTTTTAACTTGATATCGGATTCCTGCGAGACTTCAAGAATTATACGTCAGCGTTCTAAACCGAACATCAAAAAACAAAAATTAGGTCAAATTCAGCTTTATTTAAAAATAATAAGACTTGTTCAAGCGTTAACTTCCGTAACACTATATGTACCTTAAAATCAATGGCATATTGATATTGGTGTAAAAAGTTAACGATATCAGATTTGTGGACAATTCTTCTTTTTCAGGTCCACTGATTTGTCCTCTAAAGAATTATGATGTTCATTTTGATATTTGAAACAATATATTTTTTTTCATGTGTTATACACTGAGTTTGTCCTTTTAGCGTAGAATGAAGGTTCAAAGGTATATGGTGACGTCTCTATATGAGTGAAAAAATCTCTAACGGGACGTAAAACAGCATACATACACTCAATCAATCAATAGATGCAAAAATTAAATAAACGTAATTTCAAAAGCAATACATATTGTTTTGTTCTACAATTACAGTCTGTCCTCAAGATTGGATTGAATTTGAAGGTCATTGTTATTTCAAGGGCGAAGATGTTTCATGGCATTATGCCAAGGTACGTAAATACTAGTCTAGTAATATATTGCATTATTCAAAGCAAAAGGCTTAAAAAGTTAAAAAAAAAAATAGAAAAGAGAAGGAAAAACAATATCTTTCAGTCAAAGTATTAGATTTTATGTCTACTTTTTGTTCTACTTTCTTTTAGTATTCCACTAGTATAAGTAATGATGTACTTTAGCTTTAATTATGCTTTTGAAAAAATGCAAAACATATATTTTTCCGATGTGTCTTCCAGTATAATTTGATAACTGAATGAAATATTTTTTGAGATATTTTTTGAATCAACTTGAATCAACTTGCGTATATATATATATATATATATATATATATATATATATATATATATATATATATATATATATATATATATATATATATATATATATTTTTTTTTTTTTTCAAAAAAAAAAAAAAAAAAAAAAAAAAAAAAAATCAAAAATCAAACATAAAAAACCAACCAAAAAACAAAAACAAAATAAATAGAGGTCTAAATAAATAATAAATAAATAAATAAATAAATAAATTAATTAATTAATTAATAAATAATCTGTGAGCTAGGCTACCTTCTTTTACTCGCTAATTTATTCAGTCAAAAATCTTATAGATATGAAATATTTCGTGAATAATTGTAGGTGTTTACAATATTTAGCATGGTGACATGCAACACCCTATATGACATCTTGTTATAATCAATGAACCCTAAAATACCGTGAAGACACGTGATATCGTGGGATCAAATTTTCGTGGTTTTAGGGGAAAAGTATTGGTTCCAGGGGATTTTATTTTGTGGTTGAAAAAGCAAAATAAAATTGTAACATTTCTTGGGGAATTATACGTGGCTCTCTTAATACCAAGAAAACAACTGAAATTAAACCAACACGAAATTTGATGATTTTACGGTTCGGCTACTGGGGTTCATTGCTACATTTATAATTTCGTGTATATGAATAGTGAACATTTAAAACACAAGAAATTAGTAATTTTCAAAAGTGACACCATAGTGTATTCATTCGTAATTATTTCTCGGGAAGGTATTAAAAACGGTGAACTGCTCAAGATTTTTTTTCTTCAAAATTGTGGATTCGTGCAAAGGCAAATTAAAAAAAAAAATTAAGGTTAATTTTTTTAATGTTTGCAACTGTTCTATGCATATTTGACTTTGGGTCAAAATATTGAGAAAATGTACATTGTATCGACTTATTGTAACATACAAGTGGCAACCTATCGTTTTGTTTCAGAAGGAACGCTTGCATCACAATTATTATCTTTATCTAAAATTCAAAATTCTATGCTTATAAATTAATGAATTTTGCAAATAAACTCCGAAACGGGTGCACCAGAGTTCTTACTTACTACTCTAAGAATACACTAGATACAAGATGATGTTCGTAAACTATATTCAAATTTCTCTCGCATAGTAAGTATCGCACATTAAATTAAAAGTCTACTTTCAATTTCTATAACAACCATGGAATAAACACGTGAGTACAGTGGCGTTTCCGGTTGGCGGATCTAAGTTACTGGCATTTTTTAATGAAACTGACCACAAGCAATCGTTTAACGTCATCACTGAATTATTCATTCAATCAAAACTTGATTTAAATGATGTAAAAGAAATAAGTTGTGATAACCGATTAAAAAGGGCAATGTGCAAACTATTTTCGTCATTCAATGCACAGGTGCTTGAGGACGGGATCCCCCCCCCCCCCAACCCCCCGTGTTCCGTACACCAAGAGTTCTTTGACTTTTTTTTAAATAAAATATTTTTATGACACATTCACAAAGTATTACAACTCTCTGAGAGAGTGTGAATTTTTTTAAAGGCTAGTTTTAGGTTATATTTTGGATTTTTCAGTTGTGATACTTTGTGAATATGTCAGAAAATTATTTTATTTAAAAATAAAAAAAGAGGCGATTATAGCTGCATGAACATAAAAAAAAGCTTTTGTGTGAATAGTCATTGAAATAGTGGTAAATCATTGATAACTCTATAAGTTGTGAATATATTTATATATCGGAAGACTATTAGTATAGATTTTCCTATCGGTAAATTTGTATGTTCCTCACTGAGAACATAGTGGCAACGAACCCGAAGTACTATTTGTACTACTTCGTAATAAATTTGCTTGCATGAAAAAGAGAAAATTAATGAATAAGGTATCGTTCAAATAGAATTAATTATTAAAAATTTGTGCTGTAATCAATACATTTCAATTATTTTCTTTCTGAATCAGTCTTTTGTATCAAATACTCGGCCTATTCAAAGGGCGTTAAAAGCTAATTTTTTTTTTTTTTTGGGGGGGGGGAATCAATTTATCATTAAAATGTGCATATTCGCTGCTTTTATCCTTGACGGAAATGAAATAAGAGCACCTGAAGTACAATATCCATAACATAGTATAACAGGTTTCACAATAAACGTCAATTAATGAAAATGTTATTTTCAAGTTTTTACAAAAGGGGGGGGGGGGAGGGTGACGTACATCCACTTCTGCTCCAAAGCTAAATGCGGGATTTTGAACAAAGTATTATTCCTGCTATAAGCTGTAGGCTGTCAGTAGAAACTACAATATATATTTTTGGAATTTTTCTGTCGGTAGTGGTAGAAATTCAAGTCTCCGGCCCGCGCTTGTGCGAAATTTCATCTAGTCTAAAAAAAATTTTATGATAAACTAGTGGTCACAATGGTCTTAAGAGGTATCAAGATGATTTTTTTTCTCATAGAAAGTGAAAGACTCAGTTAATAAAAGTGTCAAACTTTTTTACAACTTTATACCAAGGTTTTAGCAGTAATAAATCGAGTTATTTTTACTATGAAATTCAAATTATTATATTTCTTTAATTCCAATATTCAAATCGATTTATTTTATATTTTCTGAAAATATTAATTTGTTATTCAAATTGAATTTTCATTTTTTCCTCATAATTAATGAAGTTGCTGTAATTCCCCAAGAAATATTTTAAAGTAAAGATTCATATCATATCAAATGTCTTAAAAGGATTCAAAATTTTCAAGCAAACTAAATTAGCAAAATGTCAAAGTTCTGTAGTTAATTCAAATATTTACGGAAATATACACTGTTGTTAAATATAATTTATTATAATTATTCCTCCTGTCACTTTGTCTCTATATTATAAATCCCCAACTATTTTCGCACAGAGTTTAAAGGATTTATACATGTATAGCGTAAGCGTACTATGCCGAAACAGTGAACAGATTCTTTTTCTAATGAAAATCCGACAGCGCTCACGCCGGGGAGCGAACTCACGACCCCGCTATTGTAAGTCTGAAGCGCTACCAATTGCGCCTCAGATGCCGTTATCTACATTCTGTAAATAAACGTAGTTTCATATACGTATTCGACACTTAAAAAATAAACAAAATATTTTTTTTTTTCTAAAATAGATTCATGTAACCCCCCCCCCCCCCCCGCCCTTACTCAACTAAAATACTTTGAAACTATTTGTTCATTATGCATTTACTTAACTGCATGAAACATTAAAAAATTATGACGTACATGTAGCACAACGTGAAGTCATAATAGGGGTATACTTAAATGTTTGAGACCAAAACAGCTATCCATGTAAGGGGTGATGAAACAATGGAAATTAAATGAAACAAAATATTCAACCAACTTTTGTACTAATTGTTATTACAGTTTAAAGATCAATACACAAACTGAGTCAAGGGAATATTGAAAACGCTTGATCGCATAAAGATTAGTAAAGGAACGTAATTAAATTTTGTCAATGCTTTTATACCTCTGCACACGGGAGTTCATTTAAATTGTTGTTTTCATAAAACAGTCAGCATAATAATAACAATTGTGTTCTGCTTTGCATGTAATATGCCTAAAAAGAAGTCAGGGTTTGACATATAGTGCACTCATCTGCGGCTCGAGCACCATGTGTCAAACCCTTACTACTATTTAGTCAAAGTGCATGCAAAGCACAACACTATTATATAAATATATGTACAGTAAATTATAATACAGTAACTGTAATGAAGTTTTGATACGAAGACTGAAATTAAATATCGCAAAGTTCTTTTTCTACACCAAATATTGTTTTAAATTATTCATCTAGGCAACATTATATGATACGGTTGGAAAAATTGACTACTGTGTAATTTCATGCTAGAAAATGATTATCTTTTAGAAGAAACATTGATTAAATATTCATAAAAAGCAAAATGTTATGTATGAAATGGGACACTTTAAAAATTTGTTATTCATTATGAATTTAGGTGCAAAATGTTTAATTAAAATCTTGTATAGATCAAACGTAATTTGATAATTTGTACTTGGCAATTTATTTTTTCCCTCAAAGCTGAACTTTTAGATTTTTCTTATAATATGTTTCATTCAATAGTAAGATATTAACGTAATGAAATATAGAGATAACGAACAGTAATCAAGCTTAAAAGTCCTTTGAAACAATACAAATCGGGAGCAGAGCAAACACGGAGCTCTACAAAACATCAGAGGTGAGATCAGGTGCCATGGAGGAGTAAGCATACCCTGTTGACTATCCGCCGTGTGTTCATTGTCATGATCGGGTCAACGGAAATATCCGTAGATAATTCAGTGTTCAAATAATGACCTAACAATTAGTATGAAAAACATATCTGTCAATGATAGATTATATTTGCTGACAAGGTCATTGTATCGACCATACAACTTGCGAAATGATGACTTTAAACGAAACTTGATATCCTTGTTTCATTAACTTGTTTGCCAATAGCTTGCCTCGTTTTATAAATTTTATGTACGTGGAACTTATTCTTGAGTATCGAATCAACCGGGAAATATAAACCCAATATGCAGGAGTGAGGGGTATATTGCTATGAATCATATTCTGTTTTCGAAAAGATATGTAAGTAAAAGAAAATATTACAAATAAAAACATATATCTGTACATCTGACTTTTTTTTAAGTGCATGTAACATCAGCTATAATAAAATGAATTCGAATTGATTTCGATTCATAAAAGGGATAATTTTTTCAGGAAGTGTGTGAGAGCGAAGACGCTTATTTGGTAGAGGTAAATGAAGAAAAAGAAAATGACTTTCTAAAAGAGACTTTCCTACAAATTATTAATAGTAGTAAGTTTTTTAATTATAAAGATTCATGTATTTGATTTCACTGCCTAGCTATGTAGGAAATTTACATGCAGATATCATGCAGACATCATGTATGATAAATGTTTATTTGGAAACGGGCAATAGCTGAAACTAATCAAATAACTGCATACATTTTTTTCCTTCAAATTCCTACTTTATTCTACGGAAGTCCTGGAGGAACACTGACTTACTTGTTATGACTTATTTCTTATAGCTTATTTGTTGTGACTTATTTGATATGACTTTTTTGTTGCTGGTTATAACTAAGTGTAATGTAGCTATGGAAAACTTGCAGCTTGGCATACGTTTAGTATTAAAATAATATGTTTTAGTCCTAGTTTAACTGTGGTTTTTGATTGATTAATTGTAGTTTGACGTCCAATACATTTGTGATTACTTAATTCTTATCCGTTATATCTTGTAACTTAGTTGTTATAACTTAATTGTTATTTGTTCATTCTTATTTGTTATTTCTTGTTAATTATTAATAGTTATTACTTAATTCTTATATGTAATTTCCAGTGTGCATAATGATTGAACACTTGAACATAACTACTATTTTATCTAGCCATTAGTAAAAAATCAAAGGCAAAATATTCCTTCCTTCTTTCTGAAACTACACGTAGCCTCCGCGTTTTTGGCGTTAATGAAATATGTGATAATAAAAAAATAACAAGAATTAACAATTGAGTCATAAGAACTAAGTCAAAACACCTAAGAAGTAAGTCAATGTCCCTCCAGCGCTTCCGTATTATTCTCTGATACTATGAAGTGAGGAAAATATTACTGTCTGAGAGTTTTAGCTCTCTAAATATAACATGGTTCCTTTAATTAGATGTCACATTTCGAACATATTTACAATACGGAATGATATTTCACAAAATTCATAAAATCGATGCTACATGTAACATTGTGTTTGAATTATTTTATAACGTTTAAGACGAATGTTTTACAATTTTTTGTTCTTCACATGTTTAAATTCTAGGTCCCTGTATTGATGATTTCTCCTGCCCTGCTTGGATTGGGGCTAATGACCTTGAAACAGACCGTTTAATCCTCTGGAGCCGAGATAAAAACAGCCTGCTTTATACAAACTGGTACCCTTATGAACCAAACGGCTATTTAGGAAAAGAACATTGTGTACAACTCTTAAGATCTGGGTTCTGGAACGATGCGAATTGTGATGCAAAAATACCATATATTTGTGAAAAACTGTTGTAGAATGGATCGTGTTTTTCCTCTTTTGAGGCCTCCATTTTATTTATTTATTTATTTTGAATTTTGAATTTTCAGTTTTAAATCAATGTTAAAACCTTGTTATATCGTCTGATATTTTATATGTTCAAAGAGGCGCATTTCTATTTGTGGCTTGATTGACACACAATTGGCTTTAGAATTTATTCAGCAGAGGTACGTTATTAATTCTATAGATTAAAATTCGGTAGGGATTTTTTTTTTTTGTAGTTGTTTACTAAGTCAGAAAAAAAACAAGGAGTTAACAAAAACTGTATCTTCAGAGACAGAACATAATATGGGTTTAAACTTGTTTGCAATTAGCATATACTTTCTGCTTTTTCATGTACTTATTTCTAAATCTTACTGGATGTTTAACTCGTATTGTAAGACTGACAAAGGTTGAAATTGGGCTTATTTTTTATATATGACCTTATAACTTATTTTTCTTAGGGAAATGAATCTAAAGGAGGAATTGCAATCTTTATAAAATGTAAAAATGAAACAATTGAGCAAAGTAATTCATATCGACTAAGACCGTTATGGTGTACCGTAGAGAAAGTTTACTACTTTCGGTAAAAAGAAGATCCAGCTGTAAATGCAATCTTCCAATCTCTTAAGTAATTATTTTTCTTCTCCTTTGAACTATAGCCCATGCTCAATGAACGGTCAGTAAAGAAGCTTAAAACATTTCAAAATGGATATAAAACATAAAATGGGCATTTAAATCACGGATACAAAATTTACTGGAAAAAAAAAAACGCGACCACCATTAGTTAGAAAGTGAGATACGGATTAAATTACTTGATCAGTATGTAATAGTTGCTGCCAAGAAAGCATGTTTCAAAGGCTTTTTATTACATTTACATTTCAAATAAAGGAACTTGACTTTAAATTCTACAGGTAGTATTTTGTGTGTTATCTTAAGGACAGATGACACAAACAAACTTTTATCAAAAATGTTGAAAATAACAACTTATATCATGTTTATATAAGTAAAATATGAATAAGTTTAACAGCATAGATTTTTAGTTTGCATTCAAAGTTTCACAATAACTGGATTTTAAGTGACAAAATGTTGTATAGATTAACAAGGGTGGTTGCAGAAAGGTGGAATTTTAAGCATCGTAGAAAGTTTACAATTTCTTAATATTTTAGAAATTTATCATTCTAATCATTTACAACCAAAAAAGTAAAAAAAAAATATACATATCCAGACATCCCTTTTTTGTTTGTATCATCTGTCCTTAAGTGCATTATGAGTATTCCTAGTTTAAATCACTACGTAAATTAAATAATTGAAACACTTTTAGTTTGCTGACATTTAATTTCCTCAACTAGGAATGGTAAAAAATCAGAAAGACCACATGAACAATATATTATAATTCCGTGTGGAAAAAATTACAACTATGTATTCTTTTTTTATAAGGTTCGTAATTACAATTGCATTTTAAAGGAACATGATTTTAATTCATTTTGTAATCCAACTTATACCCTCATTCACTTTCAAAGGAAGAAATTCTTGATATTCAGGTAAGTAACATATTGACTTAACATCCAATCCATTTATGCTTCAATATATAACTTTTTATGTTCAAATCAAATTATTTTTATATATATATATTTTCATATATCTTAAAAACCAAATGAAATTCAAGCATATCTTCTGGAACCCATGCAGGAAAGCTAAGGTTTCCCTTAGAATACCGAAGAGAGAGTGGCATAAACTTTATACCTTATTTAGAATAGCTTGTAAAATGCCTAAACGCTTTTCGAATTGTTGTGTTTTAATTGTATTTTTAATTCTTATATGTCCGAATATTTTAAAACACTTCGCTTAACTTCTATTGATCTAAATTCAGCGTATTCAAAATACTTACGAAAAATAGACTTTTGAAATGTACTCTGTATTAAACAGATGGTTAGAGAGAGAATTTATGATGTGTGTATAAAAGAGTCTGGCGCTGGCGATTAATGAGGATTAGTTTAATATCTTTTGTGCAAATCTGTAAGAGGAGTTTGTTCTCCAACTGGATCTTGCTTGGGAAAAATGTGTGATGGCTTTGTTTTAAAACAGAGTACGATATTGAGTGCAAAAAATACCCAAATTGTCGGTGAGTTGAACTTCTCGTGAAATTTTTTGCACCCAAGTAGTACTACGACTTTACCCAAGCACATTTCGTGTACACAAGAATACGATGAATTGATTTATATAACAAAGTTTATAATAATTTTGTTAATCGGCTGCACCGAAGCAATTTATATGATACACTTGAAAAAATCATAAATGACCGTCACGTGATCAACGAAGTCATGTGATATTAAAATAATTGTGTTGATATATAGCCGAGAGAACTCTTTATACAGAGATACAAACTATGCAAATTGAATACAAAATCGACCTCGAAATGTAATAATAAATTTTGAACACATTTAAAGCTTCGGGCAGCCTTAACATTGCATAACTTAATTCTAGAAAACAGATATACAGAGGGATCTAGTTCATGCTCTACTTTATCTCTGCTCACAGAAATATAAGCCGTAGTGAAGAAGAAAGGTTAGCTGCACTAGGCTACATAATCAAAAAGTGATGTCAATTATTCAATTTATTTTCAACTTCATTCTATGTCTTGTCCAAATCTCGTGATTGCTTAATGTTTTAAAAGATAATACCCGTTAATGACAAAATTTTTTTTTGATTTTAGTTTGATAAAACTCTTAAAACATAATGTTACAATGTATACAGAAAAAAATGTATGTTAATTAAAGTCCTTTAATGAGCTATAAATTAAGAGGGTCAGTGGACATGGCCATTTTTAGACCTTTTAATCCTTTTGGAAAAGAAGAGCTCTATATAAAAATATTATGATTATGAAGTTTCATGAAATATTATTGTTAACTGTTGAAAAGTATGGCAAAGGTCATTTTATTTTTGATGCTCAAGTCAAAAGTTAAGGTCAAGGACAGATTAACGGTGTTAAAGGAAATGTCTTGTCACAAGAAATAGACGTTGAAATACGAAAGCCCTAGCATTAATTAATCAAGAGTTATGGAAAAGACCAACGGTTTTTTGTTTTTTGTTTTTTTTTAAAGTAGGTCAAACCTCAAGGACAAAAGTCAAAACTGTTGGTACTCAAGGGAGGGTTTTGTCACGAAAAAGAAAAACACACACACACATGTAAAAATATGAAAACCCTAACACCAACCGTGGAAGAGTTATGGACAAGATTAAAATGCTTCAAAGGTAGGTCAAACTCTTATGTCAAAGGTAAAAAGTCAAAACTTTTAAAGTGTTTTAAAAGTACGTCAAACTTCAAGGTCAAGGTCAAGTGAACGGCGTTGTAACAAGGAATACACCTGTCACAAGGAATACACCGCTCGGCACTTTGAAGTGAAAGTTGCCGGTCCTTCGGATGAGACCTTAAAAACCGAGGTCCCGTGTCACGGCAGGCGTTGGCACGATAAAGATCCCTCACTGCTCAATGGCCCTTAGTGCCGAGAAAAGGTCAAAATTTGAAGCCCTTCACCGGTATATGGTGACCTCTCTATATGAATGAAAAATTCTCGAATGGGACGTAAAACAACATACAATCAATCAATCAATCAAAAGGTATTGCCAAGGTTAATTTTTTTAAAAAGTGGGTTAACTCCAAGGTGAAGGTCGCAAAGTCAAAAATATTTATTCCCAAGGAAAGGTCTAGTCACAAAGAATTTCGGAAGTGAAGTATGAAAGCCCTCACGCCAACTGTTCAAAAGGTTAAATTTTGCAAAGTTGGTCAAACTGAAAGGCTGTCGAAAGGATAAAAGAGGCTCCGAGTTATTCAATCAAGTAAACATGATACTGCAGATCAAATAAGAGCAGGCACGTAGCATCAGGGGGCCTCCGCCCACTTATTTCAGACCTTACTTTTTACTATAGTAATGTTCATTGAAAGTCCCGTGATACAATACATGTTATGTGTCAAAAAAAGGCATAAAATGAAGTTTTGTTTTAACTTAATTGTTATTGTTTATTTTTAAATTTTTATTTTTTTTTCGTATAACAGTACATGGTGTATAAAAATTATATACAAAACGTTAAATAAAAAGGTATTAGGTAAATAGTACTAGGGGCGTATAGCCATAGGCGAACTAATAAAAATGAAATTGATAATTTTTTTTTTTTTTGTGACAAGATCCTCCCTTGAGTACCAAGAGTTCTGACTTTTGTCCATGACCTTGGAGTTTGACCTACTTTAAAAAAAAAAACGTTGAACTTTTCCATAACTTTTGATTAATTAATGCTAGGGCTTTCGTATTTCAATGTCTATTTCTTCTGACAAGACATTCCCTTTGACACCGTTAATCTGTCCTTGCTTGACCTTAACTTTTGACTTGAGTATCAAAAAAAAAAAAAAAAAAAAAAAAAAATCCTTTGCCATACTTTTCAATAGTAAGTCCTAGCGGTTTCATTTTTCACAGTTATATTCCCTGAGACGAGATCTTTCTTTGGGTAACATATTTTTTTTATCTCTTGACGTTGACCTTAGAGTTGGATTCGGATTTGAGAAACTTAAACCTTTGCCATAAGCTGCAATACTGGGGCATCAGTGTTTCACAAATACGTCTTGTTCAATATCCAAACTGGACAAAAAACATTCACAATGAATCCTTAAACCATTTTGTTCAACCTAATAAATTATTTTGACTCGATCTATGGTCTGAAAGAACATGGCTGAACTTATCCAGTCAATATCTCACAGATTAGGATTTCTCTTGAACAGTGTGTGTTATGACCTTGATGAAAGGTTATTTGGATGAGGTTGGATGAGAAACTATAAATTCGTTACCGTCTTTTTTCTAGTGAAACATTGCAGGTATCATGCAGAGCGTGACATGGCCTTAATTCAAGTTCAAGGTCACTAAGGATAAGATTTTTTGACTGGATGTATGGACTGTAAGAACATATGTGAATTCAAGAAGTCAGTAATGCACAGATGGGGTTTGCT